GCTTTATTGTCAAAATGTTTACAATGTACAATTTACACGCTGTTCAGATGCCTCATAAAGCTGGGTCGCCGGTAAGGCAGTCCATTCGTCCCTGTACTCATCATTACTTTCACAAAGGTTATGTAATATGCAACATGCTGCCACCTGGCTTTTGATCTTGTCCATCTTGCAGTCGTTTCTTTTCATCAAGCACCGCCACCTGCCCTTCAGTCTGCCAAAAGCGTTCTCCACCACCACTCGTGCTCGGCTTGTTTTGTTATTGTACGCAAGTTGCTCAGGCTGCATTAACTCAGTTACAAAGCTGTATAACATGAGCACAAACAGCACAACTTCAGTCGACTCCATCTCCATCATGTCTGAGGTCGGAAGGTAAACAACAGACGCCTAATGTACAGCGAGTGGGTGGGCGTCGCAGTATATGCGGGAAGTTTTTCTTCTTCTTCTCTTGTTTTGCAGCGGATTGCAAACAACTTTAAGGTGCATACCGCCACCTACTGTACTCGCCGTGAAGTGGTTTGTGGCCTGCCAGTAAAGCCAAAGCAGAAGAAGAAGAAATGACGTCAGCGGCTCATTTGCGTAATCTTCCCTCAGGGAAAAGTACTCCGGTGTGAACGCGATCTGTACTAAGTGCCCTGGGGTAAAAAGCGCCGGGGCTCTGAGTGCCGGAACTAAGTACAGGAAAGTACTTGGTGTGAACGCGGCTATTGATTACAGTTCAGCCTTCAATACCATTGTGCCCTCCAAGCTGGTCATCAAGCTCAGAGACCTCGGGCTCAACAGCGCCCTCTGTGACTGGATCCTGAACTTCCTGACGGGTAGACCCCAGGCGGTGCGGGTGGGAAACATCACATCCTCCACCCTGATCCTCAACACCGGAGCCCCTCAAGGCTGCGTGCTCAGCCCTCTCCTCTACTCCCTGTTCACACACGACTGCGTGGCCACACACAGCTCCAACACCATCATGAAGTTTGCTGACGACACGACCGTCATCGGCCAGATCACAGACGATGAAGAGACGGCGTACAGAGAGGAGGTCGAAAACCTGACATCTTGGTGCCAGGATAACAACCTCCATTTCAACGTCAGCAAAACAAAGGAGCTGATTGTGGATTACAGGAAGCAGCAGAGAGAGGGACACGCCCCCATCGCCATCAATGGGACTACGGTGGAGAGAGTCAGCAGCTTCAGGTTCCTTGGTGTCCACATCACTGAGGACCTGACATGGACTCTTCACACCACCACCATCACCAAAAAAGCTCAACAGCGGCTCTTCTTCCTCCGCCGGCTGAGGAGGTTCAACATGGACTCCAGGATACTCTGCAACTTCTACAGGTGCACCATAGAGAGTATCTTGATTGGCTGCAACACGGCCTGGTACGGCAGCTGCACCGCCCTCAATCGTAAGGCTTTACAGAGGGTGGTGAAAACTGCACAGAACATCACCAGGACGGAGCTGCCATCCATGGAGGACCTTTACTCCCAGCGGCTCAGGAAGAAATCCCTCCGGATTATAAAAGACCCCCATCACCCCAACCACACACTGTTCTGTCTGCTGCCGTCTGTCAGGCACTACCGCAGCATCCGGACTAAAACCACCAGATTCAGAGACAGTTTCATCCCACAGGCAATAAGACTGTTAAAGGGCCCATGTCATGGCCATTTCCACTGATCATAATTACATTGTTGAGGTATACTAAAATAGATTTATACTGTGCAATTTTCCAAACTCACATTGGTTTCGCATACAGCATCTCTGTCAAGCATGTGTATTCAGCAGTATTCACTCTCTCCACTAAACGACTCGTTGGAGCTCTTGCCCCCCCCTCCCTGTGAGCCTAGTGTGCTCCGATTGGTCAGCTCAGCCACTCTGTTCTGATTAGTCAACCACCAGAGAGGCTCCGCCCGCTTTTTTCGGGGAACATCAGTGTAATAATGGCGTCGGTACAGCTGATATTTTATACTAACTAACCGAACTGAACCTACAACTGTTGTTATAGAAGAGTGTGACGGCCCCAGGGCCTTTGTGCAGGTGTGTTGCAGGGCTTACGGTGGGGTGGAGCTGAAGAGGGTAATCAGCGCGATCACGGACACCTCCGTAGCCGGTGCTATTAATCCCAGCGGCCCGGAGTCTCTCTCCAAAGCGGCTGCAGAAGGACAAACTCAGCGATCCTCTCCCCTCGACCACCTATCTCTGCATTTACCACAATAAATGTGCCGTGGTTTTGTAAACTCGTGTATGTCTCCTTGTCTTTCCGTTGTGGCCTACGAGCCGGTCATAACAAAGAGTAAGTTATTTTTACCTGTAATAAACTACTACTGTTTGATGAGAAATCAAATCATGGTTTGCTATATATGAATGATATGTTATAGGGGCAAATAATTCAGGGAAGGAAAGGATAGGCCTACTAAGTATTTCCATTAAACTTTATTTTTAGAAATGTACAAAATGAACATAAATATACATATATACACACGGTATATCATCCATTCCTCCTCGCATCTTGCCTGCGCACAGCCGGTGCCTTTTAGCACGAGGCCTCAGTAGTAGTAGTAGAAGTCCCGTCCCCGTCATGGATTGTCCGCCAGGATCTGGCTGGACGAAATCAAATGCAAATCACAAAATATTAGAGAAACTTAGTTGTTTTAGATTCGTTAGTAGTAGTTGTGGTAGGAGTGTAATGAACAGCTTGCCTGCTAATATGCTAACCTAGCTTTGTTTACCTTGGTAGCTAACACGATATGAACGTTAGCTTGGAGGAAAGGCAACTATAATGCAGTGTAATAAAACGACTATGAACAAAAGCTAGTGGTTCATATTAGGCTAGCAATAACGTGTTTATAATTGCAATCGTATACGGGTATTCTGCTACGTTCGGTCATACAATGGAACTTGCATGAATACATTGTTTTGCGCTAGCATACAGCTAGCCTCGTTAGCTATACATGCAGTATGTACTGTCACAATGTACGGTAAATCACCCGGAGTATACTGTATGAGTATTCCGTGTGTGTGACTGCAGACATTCTCCTGCCATGACAAACATGTAAGGCCATCTGCTGACATTGTAGTTGATATATTTAAACGCTAGCAACGTAGCATCACAAAAATGTTTTTCCGACCAAACCTAGCTCTAGCTCCGTGTGTTAGATCGGTTGCATACACGCTACGCCAGCTATAATGTAATTACGTTTCGCGACTGACCGCACGGCAAATCACCCGGAGTATACTGTCAATAGGTATTTTGTGTGTGAATGCAGACATTCTCCTGCTATGAGATACATGTATGCAAGGCCATCTGCTGATATTAGAGTTGATATATGGAAACTCTAGCAACTTAGTTAGCACAGTTAGCACTGTGTCAATGGCTTAGCAGTCCAACACAGTTTACACATTTAAACAGTCTTGTACAAAAGTGCATTTTGCATGATAGGTCCCCTTTAAATAGTCTTCATTCACATTAGGATTTATTTTGCAAACCTTTCCAGACTTAACTATTAAGACTGAGGATTTTTTTTTAAACCAGTTTTAGATATGAGTGTATGCCAATTATGCATTTGTTTGGGTTGAGTTTTCAGTAAAGAAATTAAACCAAATGCTTAGAGTTGGAAGACTGCTGCCTCCTAGCGTCCGACAGACCTAACAGCAGGAGCGCTAGTGTGGCCACTATTAACCTTTTTATTAACAGCATAACTAATTTACAGAAATATGATTTCATTTAAAAACAACAGATGTTCTACATTTAGCCAAAAGTGGGTCAAAAAGTAGTTGTTTATATTTGATCGTTTTGTTAATTTAGTTTTTCATTCATTTAAATTATAAAACTACTAAGAGGACATGTCTTATAGTAACTTGTTTTAACATTCCTTTTGCTATATAAACATTACACGGCTGATAAGGATGATGACTGTTTGTGCAAAAAGCGTTTTAGTAACCAATATTCAAAACTTTGTGATATTTGTAAGCAGCATTTGTATATAGTACGTGCAGTACGAGAAAGTTTCACGTGCAGTACGAGAAAGTTTCTCGTGCGCATGAGAAAGTATCTCGTGCGCACGAGAAACTAACCCATTATCCCGACTTTTTTTAGAAAGTTGCGCCAAGGAGGAAGTGGAGCGCACAGGAGACAACCGTTTCATTGCAGACTGTTATGTTTACGTGGGGAAATGACAGTGCATACATTATTTGAGATATATTTCGTACTCAGACTTCATTTTAAGGACATCCTAAAAAGTCGGGATAACGGGCTAGTATCTCGTGCGCACGAGAAAGTTTCTCGTGCTCACGAGAAACTAACCCGTTATCCCGACTTTCTTTTTTCTCTTTTTTTTTTTTTTCATGTCCCTTTAGGCGCTCTGTACATCTTCACACATGCTATGTGTTAAGTGAAGGAGAAATGGATGTCTCAATGAGGCCTCATGGGACCTTTGTTTACAATCAATTAATAGGTTTGACATATTTAGGAAAAAAGTCATAATTCTCTGTTTCAAGCTTTCAAAAAATGTGAATGTTTTATGTTTTCTTATATGACAGTAGGCTAATTGGAATATGTTGTATTCGTCTCACCAATCAACATTTTGACCAAATAACTAATTGATGAGCAAGATGCAGCCCTGCTTCAAATAAACAAGCACTACAACTATTTTCAGTTTCCAAAGGTTCATTTCTATATCACTAATCTTTGTAAACACACATCTTAATAATGACCACTTCAGCTCATTTGATCACATTCTTCACTCTTGTGCATATCTACTCGTGTATGTGTCTGGGAGCCCCCGGCCCGGCTGCTGTGCCCTGACCCCCACCTTTCAAACGGTGTTGGGACTTTTGTTTGAAGAGGGCGCCGTTTCCTCCGCAGAGCCGCGCCGCTGACGCTGCTCCGCGCCCGGGCCACGTGACGAGGCGAAGCGGCCTCTCCTCTCCTCCTCTCTCGGTCCTTCCTTCCCAGGGTTCAATGAGCGCCGTGTGGCCCCACCCCGTCTCTCTTCATCGCTGTCTATCTCCTCAATGTAAGCTACTATTCTCGGAGAGAGAGAAAGGGAGAAAATAATAACCTCCAATAATTGGTTATTCCTGTCTTTCACCTTCCTCGACCAGCGGCAGGAGGGGAGCGGCCTTCGCGGTGGGAATGTGCTGCTACAACAACCCCGCGTCCTATTTTTTGTGAATGTAAATGCACATGCAGTCTCAAGCCTGTAGCCTATTTACCCAGCTCGGATTCAAGAGGAACATAAATGTTTGTATGAGACAGTATACATATAGGCCTTATGTAGGCTAAACAAAACTGAGCCTGACAGCGGGGGTTGCTTTTTCACCTGCAAGAAACGTGGATACATTTCGAGGGATTTTCACATCTTGGTCACGTTTTCTTTTTCTTTTCTTAAATCTTTTTTCAAAATGTTTTTTTCTCTTGGAGGGGTTCTTCGGAGCCGAGCCGGGAATTAAAAAAAAGTATCGGTGCGCAGTTTTGGAGGCTCGGTGGTGATGTGAGGGGCTGATAACACATTTCAGCAACAAAAGCGAGGGGCAGGGAGAGAGAGAAGGCCTTTTGGAGGAGAAAACACACCGAGGAACAGCCATCACAAAAAAGGAGGACAAATCGGGGGGTATTGGATCGTTGTTGACTCGGAGGTGGTGGGGGATCCAGCCGAAAAGACAACCGCAGTGAGTTTGGAGCTGTTTCGGGTTGATTCGATGCAGCGAGTGAAAACGAGCCGGATGACGACGGAAGCAATGAGAATATCACACATGTAGTTGGGGTGTAAATATTATTTTCCTTCCTCCTGTCCTGTGGCCCCCCCGACGAAGACAGCCGTCGGGGAGACAGAGAAATAGCTAGAGAGTATAAGCGTTCACCTATGGAAATGTTTAACATGACAGGAGACGTGGAAACGAGCCGCGCCGCAGCACGGGCGAGGTTTTCGGACACGCCGAGTTCGGCTCCTTGTCACCGGCAGCAGTGAGACGCAAGACCCGGGCTTTTGGAAATGCAAATTAGGCTGTCAATTCTGCCTCCGTTTGAGGTGAAACCCCGATATTTGGTGTCTTAACAGACGTTGTGGATTACAATTGTTTGCGTTACACAGTTGACGGGGGGAGAGAGTGGGCAAAACAAAAACGATACTGCATGTGAAGGAGGAAAAGCCCGAGCAGGATTCAGCAAACTGAGAAGGCGGCCTCGGTGTCGTCAGCAACAGTATCCTGCCCTTTCTCTGACAGCAAAATACGCGTTATGGACACATAATTTCTACAGGGCTGCACCACGGACAGTTTTTGAGCAGGCCAGAGACGTTAAATGGTGTAAATGTGGGTGTCATCGCTGCCAGATCCGCATGTCAAACGAGGGATCTAGACTAGTTTAGTTTATTTATTTTCTTCCTACATACCCCTCCACCGCCACTTCTTCTTCCACCTCCTCCCCTGGACCCCCTTTTTTCTTTTTTCTTGCGGGAAGATGGGTTGTTTGGGCAACAGTAAGACCGAAGACCAGAGAAATGAGGAGAAGGCACAAAGAGAAGCAAACAAGAAGATAGAGAAGCAGCTCCAAAAAGACAAACAGATATACAGAGCAACTCACAGACTACTACTTTTAGGTGAGTGTTTTTAATATTCCATGTTTTCTGTGCTTGCTGCTTTACAGCTCTGCTTCCTCCCTGCATAACCTTCTGGGATGTTGTTTTGGGAAACATTGTCAACAGTGTGACTTTGCCATTGCATAAGGCTAAAAATGCAGCACTGTGCTGGGTTTTCAGCATGTTGTTGTCAAAGTGACTTTACAGAGTCTACCACTAGCAACACAAACATGCTTTAGCCGGTTGGTTTGGAAATATACATGGGGTGTACGGTTGGAAACTGCTAGCAGTAGTAGGAGAACAACCTTCTTCAAATAAACTAAAACAACCTGAGTTTATTGTAGTTTATAGTTAATACATGCACATTTTTAACAGACACTATCCTTTTAAGCTGTATTAGTTTGGGACTAAATCTTGTGCCATGCATGTAGGCCTGAATGGATTTACCCCAACACTGGTTACATTACAGTTTGTCAGTGTGTAAAAACAATGAGTCCTGCCTAAGGTAGAGGTGAACATGTGTTCATAAGACTCAACATGTGGTTGTGTGTCAGAGAGTAAACTGGAGGTGGGCTGGGTCTCTACATTACATAAGAGCCAAATAAAAGTGTCTAACTTTCGCCCGGCATGCTCTATTCTGTACCCTCCTCGTATGTCTAATCGCAGGTTTACCACCTCTAAATAGCCTAGGTGTTCTTTGTCAAAATCATAATTTGATTGCAGAGGTGCCAGCGAGGGTGCTTATTGTACGACACGCCTGTATTTATGTTGAGGAGGAAGTTGTGGTGACTTTAGGAAAGCAGAAGGACAGGACCCATATGAAAACCAAAACAAAGTGTCTGTTGTCAAGTTTGTCCCCTTTTCATTTATACTATCTGCTTGTTTGACTTTATCACAGACCTATAGGTTGTTTTTTGTTATTCTGCATATTTTAGATATGTTTAAACGGTTAACAAAGCTTAATGAAGTGCACAAGAGTCACTATCAATTCAAAGCCTGTGCAGCCAAACAACTGTCTGTAAGGCCTTGTGCTTAGGTTGTATCCATGTTGGAAGTAGTGAAAATGTATTTTTTTTACCGTCAATAATTAGCAGTTTAGGTGGCTATCCTGAACCAAAAAAATTACAATTGTTCATCATTTGTGATGTCATCATTGGATTGTGTTGCTCGGTATTATTGTAACCTGCAACTACAACTAAACTGGCCATCAGTTTAAAAAGATCTTCTGGATAAATTGGTAAGGGTTTGTGACTCCTGTGGTTCACAATCAACCATATGCACAAAATGTAAGATTGACTATCAGTGTTGCATCACTCCAGAGATCATTCACAATTTAGTTAATCAGAGTTCATGACTTACATCTGACATATTTGAACAGTTTACGCCTGTGTTTGCTTTGCAGCCAAACCTCTGAAATCCATCAGTGTCTCAACAAACATCTGTACAAAAACAAATGCAACTTAAATATTTCAAAGGCTAAATATCTGATCCGAAAGAGCATTTTAAGTCATTGATAAATAAGAATAGGAATCTGACTAAGCATAGAGGACCACTTTTTGTGTATTTCACCGCTTTAAATGCATTTGACTATTGACACAGCTACTCAAAAAGATTCAGGTTCAATATGTAACTTGAATGAGGTTTCTGGTACACAAATATGGCAAGTTACACTGTTAAGCTTTACTTTTACATGCAGATCTTTTGCAAAATGCTGACTGCTTCATCATGTAGTGTGGGAAAAGATATGGAGATGGAAGAGGAGGACTGACATTGTGCCATGAGGTCCTCAGTCAGATTTGAGTGTGTGATGTTTTGAGTATGGTATTTGCTTTAGCTTCCTGAGCCACCGATATGTGCCATGCTCTTCTGTGATAATGTGTCGTCTGTCATTAATATGCATCAAGGTTGGGAAACACTGGCTATAACCCATTATCAAAAACCTGTACTACAGTCCTTCAAACCATTTCGTATTGGAATTGCCATTAGATAAATGGTATTCAGACATGAATCAAATCTTCAGATGTCAGGCATTTATATAAAATCACACATTTATTTATTCTTTCCATCAGAGAGACCCAACATTGCCAAGAAGAAAGTCTCTTTACTGAGACATTTTCATATAAACATTATTCTCCACTATAATCAGCTGTTGTGTCAGTACATTTATTACTACTACACAAGTTGTCTCATTACACGCATTGTCTTCACTTGTAAGAAAAAGGCAAAATATCCGTTTACATTTCTTTTTATAATTGATATGTAGGCAGATTATTGCATTTTTCATACTATATTTTTATAAACTATACAACATATTTCAAACCCCTACTCAAATCGGTATTTATTTATTGCAGTTAAACAAAAGTTTATGAGTTATTGTTAATCTTCACTTTAGTTGTATAGCTAAAATAACGTCTAAATTAAAACATATTTAGGTTTTGAGGCAGGAAAGGCCTTGGCCCGTTTGAAAAAGCTGCAACTTGTTGAGCTTCAGGTGGCTCTCCCTTAATGCAGTTGATACAGATACATTTCACACAGGCCACCCACAGACCTGCAGCATACAGCTACTTGCTAGCAATGTTAAGCTAGTCCTTTTTCAAACTTACTATTTGTTAATTCCTCAGACAAGAGCAGTGTTTATGTTTTCCTCAAAGGACATAAAGATATATAAGGAGTTCTATTGTTATTTAACACTTCAGCACCTGCTTTTAAAGGGAAACGTTTAAATGTGATTTAATGGAAAAGAAAATCTCTTCCAGGAAAAAAGGCAGGTCTAAAAATGTCATCTTGTGATTGTGATCACAGTATCTAGTGAAATAATCCAGTTTATTATTTCAGCCATGACCATGCAGCTCTGTCCTTGCTTCTCCTCTCTCACTTTTCCCAGATAACGTCACAGTCATGTATGAAGTTTACTGTTTGTTCATTAAAAGTTTCCTGCAGGGCAAAGCAAGTCACCGCAGATTCAAAACAGCCTATGATCATCCAAAAATCTTTTTAGTGAGGGATGGTGCTTGTATCGATACACGGCATATGAAACTACTGTACACCAGGGATTCCGCTAGGATATTTTCTTGCTGGTCAAGTGTCCAGAAAGAATTAATTTTACCGGACAAATTAGAAACTTACCGGTCATGTTTCAATAATAATAAGAATTGTGTAGGCGTGTGGTGCAGTGGGTTGTGCGTTGGTGTTCGGATCAGGGGGTCACAGGTTCAAACCCCACTGCAGTCAGCATGTCGTTGTGTCCCTGGGCAAGACACTTCACCCCAAATTGCTCCTGTGGGGATTGCCCACAGTATTGAGTATGTAAGTCGCTTTGGATAAAAGCGTCTAACAAGTGACATGTAATGTAATGTAATGTAATGTGTAGCAGAGTTTCCGTTAGCAGGTAATTACCGGACTATGACCGGATATGCTGATGTTTAAAACTCAGTTAATGGGGCTCATTTTTATATTGCTTCAGTTTATAATCGTAACAGATCGAAAGTTCAGATTCATTTTTCAATAAATGATTCGCTTCCCCAAACAACATAATTATTACATTCAAACAAACTACTTATAGTAGATAAAGTAAATTATTCAAAAGTTTACATTAACTTTGAATAATAACACGGGAGAAACGTATCCTCTCTTTTCCTCTCTCCCTCCCTCTCTCTCCTGACAGCCCGTCAGTATCTCATGCAGCTCGCTAAACAGCGGGTGGAGCTTCAGGTGATCATGCAGAGCTGCGTGTCTCTCAGCAGCTGATCTGATCTCTCTCTCGCGTCCGGTTATACTTCACTCGCGTTAATGTCCATATCGATCAGATCCAGCTCTCCTGATCGGCCTTTATAGAGAGCACCGATCAAACTATTAAGAGTGAATATCGGCCGATAATGCCCGGCAGCCGATCGATCGGAACATCCCTAATTATTACTGGACATTTTGACCGGCAGGTTTTGAATTTACCGGTTTTTAATACATTTTACCAGCTAAAAACCGGTAATTACCGGCTAACGGAAACCCTGCTGTACACATACTGTAAAAGGACATTTCAGACAAATGTGTATTATCTACAACCCAGCTCAGTGTTTGTGTGTTTGTGTGTTTCAGATCAACAGATTCCTAATGTATCTCTCTCTCTCTTTCTCTCAGGTGCTGGGGAGTCCGGAAAGAGCACAATAGTGAAACAGATGAGGATCCTACATGTCAATGGCTTCAATGCAGAGTAAGCACGATTTTGTAAAAATCATAACTAGCCGTTTCAGTTTGGATGTCCAAACTGTTATAGTCGGAACAAAGTGATATGAATTAGGTCTACAATAGTGTAACAAAGTGTTCTCTCAACAGAGAAATAACTGTGCTTTTATTTTGGATAAAACATGGTAGACTTGTCAGACTGCCGTGCAGAAATGGAAGTTTGACCCTTGAGAGGTAAAAGCCAACGACAGTGGTGAAAAACAAGTTATGTACTTATTATGACGTGTCAATATTACAGATGTTTTGACTAAAATTGGATATTGAGGTAATCCATCTGCTGTTATCTGGCTAGCAGCTCCTTGTAAAGTAAATAAGTCAGTTTGCTTAATGAGACAATGTCTCCATCACGACAGGATTGGTATCTTCCAATAAACTTAATTGATGCCATGCAAAGCCTTATGGGAACTGTATTTGAGAAGAATGCTATTGACAATTGTTGTTATACCTCAGTTTGAAATAAGAGTCGGGGTCCAAACAAACCCTCTGTGCAAAAATAGACTGTATCACAGAGAGTTTTCTATATCTCTTCCATACGTTTGTCTAAACTTTCTGGATATTGTTGTTCAAGAACCAATCTGCTGACCCAAGTCAAGTAGGACAAGAATGAAGGATCATTTTATTTTAGATACTTTTTCATCCAGCTTTGCCCTTTGTTGTGTGAACTAAATGTTTTCCAGATTACGAACATTTCATTGATCTTTCTGTTTTTTATTTTCAGTACTTTAGACACACAAGTCACAATTGTTTCTTACAAGAGACTTCAATTGTGTCAGTTCTTTTTTTTTCTTCTGCTTTCTGTTCTCTGAACCACATCCCTGACTTGCTGCTCTTGCAATAAGCAATGTTTTGTGTGTCATTGACTTGGCGTGTATTGGTCTGGTGGTTGTGATGGGGATGGAAGTATCTTTGCAAAGTTAGAATAGAAAATCAGCACCTAAGGCAGACAAGAGCGTATGACCCAGCGCGTGACTCCACAACACTGAGCTGTGTGTGCGTGTGTGTTAGTGTGTGTGTGTGCTCAGGTGGATGGGTGTCCGTAAAAAGAAGTTACAGCATCATAACGGTTTAATCTGTGACATTGCATGGATTATCCGGCTGATTTTTTTGTCATCCACGCCATGTATGGCTCCTTTGTTTCCTTTATGTTTAGTAAGCTTCCATATATGATGCTCCATGTCTCACGGTTTTACTTGTATATTCGGTCAGATGTCATCTTTTTAGTTCATTACAATAAATCACTTGTTTTTTTGAAGATCTCCTAAAACCAAAACAGGCCAGTTGCTTGTAGGTCTCCACATGACGAGCATAGTAATATGTTTTAATAAGCTCAGATCGTGAGGCAGGACATACATTTACTGATGTGGGACTGAAAGAGTTCAATAACGCCTGTGATAAAAGATTTTGGGTGAATGGATTGAGTGTTGTGGTAACCTAAAGGTCAAAGCAATTGGCTTGTGACCGGAAGACTGCTGATTCCAATTGCTCGTTTAAAAAAATGAATGAATGACTCAGCCCTCTCTTTTCTTCTCAACTATGACTAAACTGCCCTTGGACAAGACATTCAACTGCCAGCCTCATCACTGGAGCTGTTAAGTGGTCAAAGGCTGAGGACTGCCAATGTGCAGGACCATTTTTGTATTTATGAAAAAGCTTGAAGGAACCCATGGATGTCGAGAAGGAACTGGGTACAGAGTTAGAGGCGGGGCCCCTTTTTAAGCCAAAGAAAGTTGCTGACTAATGGTGTAAAACCCTCAGATGTTCTGAATTTATGGGCTCATAGAGCAAACACAAAATTAGAAATAAGTGATTTATCTTTAAAACGATTCCACGCTTTTGTCTATGGAAATATTGATTTTAGATTCTTAAAATTGTAAGCAATAATTACATTTTCCCTTTTTATCAGCATTTGCTGGTTAAGATAAGATTTATCCCAAAAACATTTTGTTTCAGCAAAATAAAAATAAAAGTAGAAATAAACAATTCTAAAATATAAACCAATAATTTATCAAAGTTACAGTTTTCAAATGTTTTAATTTCTATATCATTATTAATTAACTTTTATTTTATGTCCCTCTTCTATGCTGTTATGGGACTATTTGTTGAGGTTGTATAGACTAAATGAGCATGCCTACAGTTCTTCGATTCAATTATAATATTTTGATTCCGCAGACAAACCCGTAAACAAACACATTAAATAATGACACATTTTAATTATTGTGGCTTTGATTTCACACCTTGTACCCGTCAGCTGCATTTATCCACCTTAACGTATCACGAAATCATCACTGAACCACGCTGTGTCATGTCTTCTTCCTCGCTCTAACCTCTCACAGACACACACACACACCACCATGTGATTTTTAATGACTATCAGGTTGATAATGTAAACAAGGCCTTCTCAATTTCCCATCTAACCCAATAAACTCTGTCTTACCCCTTCTTTTCTCTCTTATTTCTCATTCTGTTACCACTTGTCAACAAGTATAACTCAATTTGTTTATTAAACAGTAATTGTCTTGTACATATTGTTTATTTAAACATAATACATAACATGATTTTAGTGGTAATTAAATCACTCACTGCAGTTTAATTCATGCCTTTCTGCACCAAATTCAAGAAAAACACATTGTAAATTGTGTTTTTTTTTTTCTGGCATTCCCCTCTTGTCAAAGTTACAGTTTCTGCTTATTTGAGTAATAATAATCTCTTGTTTTCATATTTATTTTATTATCTGCCAGAGAGAACATTCCTTTACAGATAGCATTGCAGCCACATGGTAACTCGGCTCCTCAAAGTGTGTGTGATAGCCTACATGTGAGCAATTCTTGTTTGTTTATGTAGGCTTTACGAAGAGCCTCACATACTTGATTCTATTTGACTGCAGGAGGCGATACTGACATGTCTTAAATTCTGCTAAAATAGCTTTTTTGTATTATTAAAGCAAATATTGGCATGGGTAAAACTATAGAGAACTATTACAATGAAGTACTTCACAATCTCAAAACCTGATGCCCTGTGAAGTAAAGTTGTGAAGGAGTTGTGCAGCCTCTTGGGTAATTGGTTGGAGAGAATGCACTGATCTATGGCTGGCAGGATGGATGAAATCAAATATCACAAAAAAATGACATCACCTTGCTGTAATGCAGACTTAAAAACACAACACTAAAACCATATTATGAAACAAAGAGGCCCGCCTCGCCCTCTGTCGCGGACATAGATCTATTGTAAACACAATGTTGTCCTGGAAGGCTCAAGGTGAAAGATAGACTAACTGGCTCTCTGGTTGACTTACATAGAAACATTTCTGTCACAGAGAGTCCAAATGTCTTGTATAAACAGCAGACAGACATCATTTCTCCACCACGCGTGCCAACGGAGGTCTGTTTACCCTTCTCGGATCAAAAACAAACTGAATGCGGCTCAGTGTTGTGTACCATGTCACGGTAACACAGAACTCCTCTTTTGAACACCAAAACAACACTTTCTAAATAAACCCTTTATTTGTGTACAAAAGAAGAGCATGCAAACTATGTTGTGAGAGATGTCACATTTAATGTCACTCATTTGATATTTTCAGATTCATCCCATTACATCTTTATCTTGAAAAGAATGTGTTTTGCTTCCTGCATTTTAACAACTATTTCCACAAATGCCTTGATCTTGTTCGGTTATTTATGTGATAATTAAAGTTTTCTGTCATCTGTGAACAGACAGAATAACAAAGATGCATATCATTATTGAATTAAAAGAACATTTCACCAACTTTATTCATTATAAATTGCTGTAGCACCCCCTTTAATACTGCTTTAGAAACCTTAACCTCAGTGATTAATAGGTGTGTGATTTGCCCTCACTTAGCACAATACGATGGATATGTACATACCTGTCTTTATTTTATTTTCGCATACCTTTGGTGGGACAACACTCCTCAGGCTGTGTTACTGTTGTACATCAATAACGAGATCATCTGTTTTGTCTCCTTTTCAGAGAGAAGAAGCAGAAAATCCATGACATCAAGAATAATATTAAAGAAGCTATTGAAGTAAGTGGTGGAAAAAACAACAAAATAGCTGTATGTGCTTGCTGTCCGGCTTCTGTCTCTGTCCTCTACAGTGAAATGTACTAAATGTATTTTATGTTTGTTTGTTTGTGTTAGACCATAGTAACAGCTATGAGCACCCTGGCACCGCCTGTGCAGTTGGCCTGCCCGCAGAACCAGTACCGCATCGAATACGTCCTCAACCTCGTCACCCAGAAGAACTTTGAGTTTACATCTGTGAGTAGTACAAATATTCACAAATAAATCACACACACACACACACACACACACACACAGTCAATTCACACCAGTTTTACAGAATTTGCTTATGCTTGTAGTTTTGCAATGACTTGGAATATTTTAACAAACGTTGCAAGTTAACCCTTTTTAGTTTTTACCTCGACATATGGCTTAGTTAAAGTAAAGCTGTGGCCGATATAAAACATTAGCAACAGCTGCAGGCATCCCCAGCGGTGTCTGTATCCTTAGATGATAGGAAGTAATAGTCCCAACATCCCAGGTGATAATCCCTTGACAGGGGTAGCAAACACTGAGGTTCACTAATGACCTGATGGGTAACCTCTGTGTGAGTTTAATATTCTCAATGGGACATTACTAATTGTCTGAGCCAAGAGACCAAACTCATAGTCTGGGACTCCCTGTTTATCCTCAGCCACCTGCGGGGCCGGGCTAAATTCACTCTGCATTAAGTCTCACGTAGGAATAGAACCTGTAGTTAGTTTTCTTATATATATTTTTATTAAGTTTGAGGATTGGCTGTTTGATAGACATTCACTGTCAGAAGCCAGAGGACGGTTAGCTCAAGTCCAAACCTTTGCTCTTTACCATAGGGTTTTACTAGGGGACCATCAATAAACTACAGTTTTAACCGTGCTCGTGTTAGTTAAAATTATGCCAAAAAATGTGACACAAACTAGAGACTTGCGAGGCGGCAGCAGAGCAGTTTTGCTTTCACAACCTTTGTATGTTTATTTTTGCCTTTTTATTTTTACCTTTGTATGTTTATAGAGACACTTTAATCTGAGCTTGAACTGCATTTCCAGACTATGGTCATAGAGATTTTATTTTGAACTGATGTTCAAACTGTTGATAGGAAATTCATTTCAGCTGCTGTGGTTCTGTTTTGTTTTCTCAGAGCTCCTAAAGGGGATTGATAGTGTCACATCTCATACCTGAGGATTCAGGTTTTCTAGTTGCTCAGTTTGATGTTTGAGAAGCAAGTGTTCCTTGAGAGAGAAAAGAAGCAGGCAGAGGGAGAGGAAGCAAGGAAGAAAAGGCATTACATCAGGAGAGGAAGAGTGAATCCATTGCATGACTGATATGAAAGAGCGCTCTGTTTGTAAACTCATGATGAGTTTGCTGTCATGGAAAACTGCAAGATGAAATAATTCTTTTTTTTACACATGAGTGACAATGCAGCTGTTAAGATTTCTCTTTGACACCCAACACGGACACATTTAGTGTCAGGTGGAAGCTTAAAGCAGCTGAAGCAAACAAGGAAATAGAAATGCAACTATAGGCGCTTTCACACGCAGGTTCATCAGAACTTAGTTCATGAGAACTCAACTAAGTACAGATCGCGTTCACACCGGAATAAGTCCCTGGGGGAGGATTAGGCAAATGAAGCCGCTGACGTCACTTCTTCTTCTGCTTTGGGTTTACTGGCAGGCAGCAAACAACTTCACGGCGTATACTGCCACCCGAAGTCCCCGGCCGGAAGTCCCCGAGTAAATCGCCAGAACGCCGACACCTCCTCATCTCCACCGCTCCCATGTTTTCTTTTGTGTTGCCATAAGTTAGTCTCTCTGCGTTTGTGCGCTGGGCTAATGCTAATAATGCTAATGCAAGGATAATAAAATGGCGGCTTCACAAAACTTTTTTGGAGTTTTACGGGGCGTGGTTTGCATTCCGCCCAGCCAATCAGACATAGGAACCTTTTTCTCCCACGAAAGTACCTGCTCTCTAGCAGGGACGGAAAACTGACGGAAAAGGGGGTAAAAAGGTTCTCATGAACTAATTTTAGTTCCGGCTCTTTTTGGTGTGAACGCGACATTTCGGAACTATATCGGAACTAAAGTGGGAAAAGTACTGCGTTGTGAACGTGCCTAATGAACTGATTTGTCAATCATCAGAAATGTAATTGGTTGATCGATTAAGTATTTCAGATTTTTGCAGCAGCAGAAAATGTCAAATATTTCAGTTTCTGAGTGTGAGAATTCAAATATTTAACAACATAAGCTAAACAAATTATTTGGAAAGAAAAATGAATTGCAAAATGTCAAATTCGATTTTTCATCTACTTAAATGGTCAATTTTTTGCCCACATGTTTGCACACACATAGTTGTTTTAATACAGTGGAAGGTTATAATTGACATTTGGGGATCATTCACCTTCATCTTCGTTTTCACTTATGATAAACAACAAATACAAGTATTCTTTATAAAAGTTAATAAAAACGTTCTAATGAAATATATTGATCTGAACATTTTATCAGGAAGATTAGAAGGTAGAGGGCAGCACATGTAAAATCACAAATCTTGGCGGTCCAATGCTTGAGTCTGAGTGAGCACACAGAGAACTAATGTACTACTCAGCAACACTTCATGAAGACACATGAGCTGTTGCAGGAATCAAATCTGTGAGTTTTCCTCCGCGGGTCGCTCTCTTTACCACTAAATAATCACTCGGCAGCCTGAGGAATTCCACTCATGCCGAGCTGTTGGGAAGCAATTATTTGTTTGCGGTTGTTATTTGGCTTTACTTGTTTGGTTGGTTGACTTGTTTATGACGAGCGCGGCATAGTTTCCAAGTTATAAAAGAGGATGGCGAAAGTGTACTCTGCTTTTCGGTCTGCATGAGTGTTTGTGTGTGTGTTTTCCCACTGTGGAACATGGAAGTAGCCTGTGTTTGACCTGAATTAGGACAGTTCATGAACACATCAATCACAAAGTTCATTCTTTTAAACTGGCCTACACATACAACAAACTGCTGAGTCACTCTAGTTAGTCTACTGAGTCACTCTAGTAATGTATCTGTATTTCTACACCCACATACGTGGGAGGCGTGTGGTGCAGTGGGTTGAGCGTTGGTGTTCGGATCAGGGGGTCACAGGTTCAAACCCCACTGTAGTCAGCATGTCGTTGTGCCCCTGGGCAAGACACTTCACCCCAAATTGCTCCTGTGGGGATTGCCCACAGTGTTGAGTATGTAAGTCGCTTTGGATAAAAGCGTCTAATAAGTGACATGTAATGTAACATACCTGAAACCTGTCATTGTTATCAAACAATCTCCTGATAAGAAAAGCAGAAAATAATACTACATTTTTGAGAAAAACGTTTCCCACTATTAAATAATTATACACATCATCGCCTAATTTCAAAGGGTACTCAATAAACAACCATATGATTAAGAATTCCCTTTTGTTTTTAAGGAGTTGTGACAGTTATAACCTTTTATTGGGATTGGGTATTGCACGTTGATATTGACATATGTGGCGCATACTGCAGCTGTTAGAAGTGTGTGCTAGTTACCAGCTCACATGTACTACCTGAATCACTGTGGTGGTGTTTTGTTAGCAACTTTACAACATCATTTAAATGAAATGTACTCCTGTCGTTCAGTCAGTACTAATGATGTCAGAAGAAGTGGTTAATTCATGCTGTGTCCCTGCATAAAAACGAGTCTGGCTATAGTGTCGATGTTAAGTAACGAGTCTTTCTTTCCCTTCACCACTATTGCCCTTTACATACATGTACGCAGGCATCTCTTCAACACATCGTCCAGTGCATGTCGTGTCAACAAAAAAAACACTGTTCCTCAGACGAAAGCACATCTCTGTTCACCTTTAATTTTGTATTAGTCTTTTTTTGGTGTAACATGCACAGCAATAATTAATACAAAACGTATCTTACATGTAGGGGAAATAAATGTCTAAGATACAGCAGGTGAACTGTGTGTTTTTGACAAATGCACTGACTGACAGTGTCTGCATTTGGTCATTCATGTGTTTCTGTTTCCTCCGCAGGAGTTTTACGAACATGCGAAGACACTGTGGCAGGACGAGGGGGTCAGGGCGTGCTTCGAGAGATCCAACGAGTACCAGCTGATCGACTGTGCACAATAGTAAGTAACTACATGGTGTAGGCCGTGATGTAAGTTTGGATTAGTGGACCAAAATGAATAATACTTTTCTCATTAACTGATTCATTGTCTTGTCCTTACTTAGTTTTGTTGGTTTATTTTGGTTCACTGCCAGAAGTCAAACAAGGGAAGCACACATTGGCCTTCTATGATGTTAGAGTGCTTTTGTTTGCAGCTAGCAACAGAGCAGCTGTTCTGTGTCTCGTACAGTGTGGAGATTAAACCAGTTTAGAAATTGAAAAGTGGTTGTGATGGGAGGTTCTCTGGTATCAAAACAGAAGCGACGAGAGTCCCACCATCCTGATTCCTGGAAACCAGATTTGACGGTGCTTCTTGTTACTGTCTATCATTCTTCTCTCTTGCCTGCACAACACAATCAAAAGGAGAAGTCATTATACAGATTTAATGGAATACCACAAACATGCCTGACGTTAACTGCAGACAGATTTACAGTAATATGCTGTGTATCTTTCGAGATAAATTCTTAGAAGTACGCAGTTGATGTCCAATCATAAAGGTGATGATTTTGCGCTTCAATCTAATGGCATCTGTAGGACAAGCTTTGTGCCCATTACGTAACTTCAGAGATATGACTTCATGGGTACTTAGCAAATGTTGTTTTACAATACTGGTCTACAGTCAACAACCTTAATCAATTTATTTACTTTTTACGTTTCTTTCTTTCTCTCCTTTATTAACTGACAGAGGGATATTAGGTCAATGCTCAGATGGCACCAACATTAGCAACATCTTTGCCTGTCAAACAAATGTGTTTTATACCAAGATGTGTCTTTGTTGATGTTTTTATGAGCATGAAGATATAGCTAGAAAATACTTTAAATTCTGCCTTTTTAATTAAGCTAGTGAGTCAACTAGTCACTGGCATTCATTTCACATTTTAAAACCTCAGACGGCTGCTGCGTCTCTGTTATTTGCAGGAGCCTCTAGATCAGGGGTCACCAACTACATTTGTCCAAGGGCCAAAATTAATCCAAGAGACACTTTCGGGGGCCAGAGATTTTTATATATATTTATATATAAATCATAATAATCTATATATATATATATATATATATATATATATATATATATATATATATATATATATATATATATATATATATATATAATTGATTAATATGTTCACTTCATTGAAAAAAATAATCTTTTTTTTTTTATAAGCCTGTATCCGGGGTAATAAAACTGAAAGCAGTCCTGATTGGCAGGGAAATAAATCAACTTTTTTATTAATACCATGTAGGGTTGCAAAATTCCGGGAATTTTCAAAGATGGAAACTTTCCACGGGAATAAACGGGAATTTATGGGAATAAACTGGGAATTTTCAAAATTGAAGGTTGGCTCTTCATAGGGAACTTAAATATAGTTGGGGAAAGTATATTTTAGCATAATCTTGACTAAAACAAACAGATGCCATTCAAGTATACTTGAATATCCATGCCATAGCACACTGCTTACTGCATGGCTATTGAGACCACACAAAGGTTCGCAACAGGCTCACAAATGTGAGAGTGGAAAAACTGGTTGGCATTCGGGCAAACCTAAGGCTCTTTGAGCCTGACACATACCCCTTTCACACCAACGCAACTCCGGTCCAAGCTCCGTGCTAGAGCTTTTCAGGTTCAGAACCGGTACTTCGGTTTAGCTCCGGCTCTTTTCACACCGCTCAGAGCCCGACTGGTGCTGCCGCTGCTGCGTCATGACGTCACAGTTTACGTCGCTGATTTTCTCCCCAACGGAGCTCACCTCACAACAACAACGCGCCGGGGACTGCGTTGCTTTTAATCATACGAAGCCAGATTAAATTAAATAACGACTTCTAACCTTATACTTTTCTCCAGAGTGCCGTGGTTCATTGTTTATTAATGTGTTTCAGCGGCATTTACCGACCGCTGCAGTGCTGCTGCTCTTCCACGAGTGTATTCTCCCGTTAGCTCCGGGTTAGCTCACACGGCTCTAAAGTATTCACTGTCTGACTGTCACACAAGCAGCTGATACATATCCCCAGTTCCCCTTAAGTGAATGTGTGTCAGTCTGAATTGACGCTGTTTGGCATCACAACGCTGTTATGAAAGTTTCTCTGGTATAACATGGGTGATGTTAGCATAGCAACCGAAGCTAAACTGACTACTTGCTAAGCCGTTTTCTACAGGCACTTTTTACCGGCGTATTTTTCATTATGATTCTACTTGTGATAGTCGGACATGACAACCTGTGCAGCCCATGTATTGATTCCATCCGATAGCTGCTATAATAACAAACAAAAACGTCTGCCTGCTCTCCACAATGATCAATAACAGCGAACGGATGGTCAAAGTAAGGTACAAATAAACAGAATCACACGAAGCCTGGTTAGTGTTGCCTGACTTTATAAAGTGTGTTTTTTTTTAACAAGTGTGTGGTTGCGTTCTAGTCACTTTGCTCAGCGCTACTGCTTGTTACAACTTTTATTTGCCGTACTCGCCTTAACTGTTATCTCAGGTTAATCTCGCCCCCCTCCGACGTAAGCGTGACGTATGCGGTTCTTGCTTCTACACGGACAACTTTTTGGTGCTCGAAACGAACCGGATTCCGGAGCTTAGAGGCTGCTCCGCTGCGGTGTGAACAGGAAAACCCGGTGCTTTTCAAGCACCAGCACCGAACCGGCCCCGAAACACCGTTGGTGTGAATGGGGTAACAGAGCCATCCTCAACAAGGCTGGACAGTGACACTGAAGAGGAAGACTCAGAGTTGGATGTTGATGAGGCCCAGGAAGAGCCCGTTGACTGAAAGGGTTTAGCAAAAATGCAGAGGATCGCTTGAAGGAAGATTTGCATGTTTAATGGTACGTTTTGGAGGGAGAGGGGCTCTTTTCATTTACCATTTTGAATGGGACTTTGTGGGGATTTTTGGATGGGGGGTGCATTTTTGTTCATTTTGTAATGAGTGGGGTTGGGGGGGGATGAGTAACATTTAACTCAACATTCCTGTTTTCGTTCTTCAATGAAACAAATAATTGTTCAAAAAAATAATTAAAACTTGTTCTTTTCTACTTAAAAAAAAAAGTTTAAAAAACAAATCTGTTGAAATGTCATGTTTTTTTGTTTAATTTTGCATCGAATATTTCCAAAATTCCCCAGCTTAACTTCCCATGGAAACTTTCCGGAAACTTTCCGCCCCTTTGCAACCCTAATACCGTGTCCTGATTGGTGGGAAACCGTTGCAGGATATAAGAAAATTGTTTGCCAGGCACGCATATCTCAAATAATGTATGCACTGCCATTTCCCCACATAAACATAACAGTCTGCAATGAAACGGTTTTCTCCTGTGTGCTCCACTTGCGAATCGGTAACTTTCTTGTTAACCTGTTTTGGTTTAAAAACAGAATAAGGTCGGTTTTTTGGTTTTCCGTTTCGGTTTTAAAACAGAAAAACAAAAAAAACACCAGTTTTTAGTTTTTCCTATTCGGTTTTGAAACGGAAAAACCAAAGAACGAACCATACACAGATTAAACATAATCTTCTCCTCATATTTTTCTAAATTATTTTTTTATAAAAGTAATCATCTTTATATATATATATATCCACCAGTTGATGGTCACTGCTCTAGATTGTTTCTTCATTGAGGTACATCTGAGGTGGTCACGTTGGATACCATTTCAAATATGTGCAGTTTACCTTTTATGTAATTATTTAGGCCAAACAATGACTTCTGCCTAATTTGTTCCCAGCATGAGCATCTCTCAGCCAGTATAATCTCCAAAACCAAACCTTTGCATTATCATATCTATATGATGCATATGGTTTTCTTTGAAGAATGCACAAGGGCATCTTGAAAGGAATTTTAAGGCATGTAATATAGTGGAATATTTTTCATGTAACAGCAGCAGTCTGCAGTGTTTGGGAGCAAACATGGCCGAGGCTGAGTCATCCGCAGATCAGAGGAAGTTTAGAGGAGGAGAGGGGGGGATTTGTGAGGAGGATAACGTCACTGCTCAGCTGTGGACTCAAGACTGCAGCCTCAACTGATATTTGCTAATAATCGTTTGAATATTAATTGCATTTAAATTGGTACTTTCAGATTTTGGTGGTGTTATTTGAAAGTTACCTTGAGGAGAAACTCCCCCCTGTTTCTTCCTCAGGTGGTTGAGTTGGTACAGTCCAGTCTTTTGTACCCTCCCTCCTCTCGCTCACACATCCAGTATAAAAACTCACAAGCTCCTCCTGCTCCTGCTTTCCTTTTCCTCCTTTTCTCCATCTCCGTCCGTCTGTCTGTCTTCTTTTAGTCCAGCCGCAGTAGATTGGGAGCTGATGGACTATTAATAGCATCTGTGGTTGGGTCTCCATGGTAACCGTGCTGGAGGCCAGGGCACTGGGGAGCTATTTTTGAAATCTGCTCTGTAATGTCAGACGGACGCCATAACGCTTTCAATCTCCGTCCTCCTCTCCCTCTGTGTCTTACCTTCATCACGTGCACTCTCACATGCACTCTCTCTGTAATGCACACATCAGGATGTCTCTGACCAGCCTTGGATGTTTTTACAGGTGAAATGGCCAATAGAGCTTATATTAAAGAGAGTTCATCTATCACTGGACATAAAGACAGTCTGTCATAAGAGACATCTCTGGGATGTCTACAGTCAAATCAAACTGTAACCATCCATCATCTTTATGTAATCCGCCACTTCCTGTTCCTTTCTGATCGGTTTTATTTTACATTGACAGATCATGTAAAGTTCAGAGAAAGTTTTTAAGAGATGAAATGGTGTGAGCATTAACTATTCTCATCCACATTAAATATCGTACATAGAAAGCAGCCTTACAGGAATTATCGAATAGAATTCAGCATGATTTTTTTTAAGCAGACTATTTAGTCAAGTGTTTGTCGCTATTTCTTCAGATTTGTGCAAAGGCAAGCTTAAAGAGCACTAAAGGACATACTTAATGTTCTGTTGGGGTTACAAAGAGGTTAACACACAGATAATTATTTCACTTGATACTAGGGCTGTGCAATTAATCGTATTTTAATCGCAATTACGATTTTGGCCTGCCACAATTACGAAAACAAAATAATCGAAAAAAACAATTATTTTGCTTTGCTAGGTTGTGACAGTGCACTGCAACATATTTGATCTAATTAATTTTGGTCTCATTTATTTGTATTTATCATATTTATATATGTTTAGTAGCTTGGGGAATTGCGCTCCAAAATATTTGTTGATCTTGTTTATTGGTATTTATTATTTTTGATATTATTTATTTAAATGTATCATTTATTTTTGTATTGGTTTTTCAGTTGAATTATACGTTCAGGGTAATCAACAGTTCAAATTATTATTTGTATTTGTTTTAAAGTTCAATAAATGGATTTTTTCAAAGTCAATGAATAATCGTATTTAATAATCGTGATATCAATTATTGACCCAAATAATCGTGATTATGATTTTTGCCATAATCGCACAGCCCTACTTGATACTGAATGTGGAGCTTTAGCACACCTGTGCAAATCTTTAACAATGAACCCACACTCGGATCAGCATTATTCTCTCCCTAACATTGTTTTATTTCTTCTTCTTTCCTCTCAGCTTTCTAGACAAGATTGAGATTGTGAAACAGAATGACTACACTCCGACAGATCAGGTGGGTGAAACATTCAAATGACCTACATTTAATTTTGCGTGTATATTTTCATACACAGGAAATGGGTTGAAAGTGTGGTCTATATCATCCCTTATAACCTTTTCTCAAATGTAATAGTACACACACCCATGTTTCAGTTGGGTCTTGATTTGATTAGTGCATTTTTTTTCAAGTGCATTTTTTAAAATGTTCCAAATCAACAATATTTGCCGTTTGCAAAGCCTATGAGTGGGGGCAGAAAATAAAAACACATTGCGTCCCAGTTTCTCCAGTTCTTACCCTGTTCTAGAAAATAATTTCAGCAGCAACTTGCCAAGTGTAATGCTTGTTCCAGGTTTTCAGAATAATCATTCAAAATCCTGTAGGATGTCTTAATGACCTTGGAACCTTTTTATTCACAATTTTGTTTTTTCTTCAGGATTTGCTGCGGTGCAGAGTCCTGACATCGGGCATCTTTGAAACTAGATTCCAAGTGGACAAAGTTAACTTTCAGTAAGTAAAACCGTAAAGAAAAGGGCAGTGACATAAAGAAATTATGTATAACTTTCTTATGAAACTGTGTCATTATCAGTGTGAGAATGTAAGATGTACAGTCTCTACACATGATGGCAGTATTTCACATTTTAACGCCTCTTGTTTGATTCCCACAGTATGTTCGATGTTGGCGGTCAAAGAGACGAGCGCCGGAAATGGATTCAGTGCTTTAACGGTAACTCGAGATTCTTTCTCTGTGGTCCTCTCACTTCACTAAGATCACGTCTTTTTTTCTTTCACTGATTCATGCGTGCGCCTCTCCCCTCCTCAGATGTAACAGCCATCATCTTTGTGGTGGCCAGTAGCAGTTACAACATGGTGATCAGAGAGGACAATCAGACCAACCGTTTACAGGAGGCCCTCAACCTCTTCAAGAACATCTGGAACAACAGGTGAGCACACTCAGACCTGATCTGACCATGTGGTTTTCAGACCTGAGAGTGAAGTCAAATGGCAAAGTTGCAGTGGTGGAAGATGTACTTGGATCCTTTAATGACAAGTACCAATACCACACTATGAAAGTACTCTATTATAGATGAATGTCCTGCATTTAAATCCTTAAATAATTAACATAAGTATCAAAAGTAAAAGTACGCATTCTGCTGTCAAATGGTCTCTGTTGTTATTAGTGCTCCAATTAAGGAATATTACATCCTTAAAGTGCTATTTGATTATCAGTTACTCTGCGCGTGTTACCTTGAATTCTTACATGCGCACACAATACACAATCTGAAAACAGATTCAAGTGGCGATGAATTGAAGTAAATGGAGGCCGTGTTTATAAATCAGAAAGACTATGTTAAAACATCCAGAAGTAGAAAGACTGTCTGAGAGTTGGATTTAATAAATGGTGCCGAAAACCTGCAGCAACTCCCATACAGGATGGAGGAGAGGAGCCCCGCTGTGAACTATTGTAAAGTTAGGACAGATCATCTCAGTGTCTTAATCCTTCAAATGATGCACAGACTTCAGATTTTGTCAGTCATTTAAAAAAGAAAAATGACGGCTAAGGCGACCTATTCCAGTCACATAGTCGAGCAAAACATATAATTGTCGGCTACTGCTATCGACGCATGTCATCTTATTTACCGATGGCAAGTAAATGGGGCTAGAAGAGTAGATCACGTACTTTATTTACAAGATCCAGCTAAATGTAGGCCAATACATGTTTTAGAATAGATGGAAATGAACAAGGTCTTTGACAGACACAGACACTGTGGTCACAGAGATGAATAAGTATTGAATCTAGACACTCAAAATGATTTATTCCAATCTTTATGTTGTATGAAATACTCTGGACTGTTTTGATTTTTTTAGGACACAGATTTAGTTTTTATGCAGTTTGGGGATCAATGCAGATGCACTTTGGGATAATGAGTATTTTTTAATAAATGTAAATGTATCTGCTGATCAAGCAGTCCCCTCCTGACCCCCTGTTGGTATTTATTTGACCAACTCAGGGCAGAGATGTTTTGATGTTGACGTGTTTTGTTTTGTTCTCTTCAGGTGGCTGCGGACCATTTCTGTCATCTTGTTCCTAAATAAACAGGATCTGCTAGCAGAGAAGGTGCTGGCAGGGAAGTCCAAAATCGATGAATACTTTCCTGAATTTGCTCGCTACACCACACCTGACGATGGTGAGCGGTTGAACCTCTTTCAGACCCCTGTTGGCCTCAGACGGCTGATACCTCCCTTATATTGTTAGCTGCACAAATATACTTTTTCCAGCTTATTTATTACAGATAAGTATTTTTTTGTAAGGAATCCCCAAACTGTCTCAAAGATTCACAACTGGAAACTGCCTTCTGAAAATCACAATGAAAATGTTCCTGAGCATGCAGAAACATCCCTGTGCTTCCAGAGGAATACACCGACACACAGCGATAGTTCTGCTGTGTCAAGTCATGTTTTTTTCTTCTCATTAAAGCAACTGTGCATATACTTTCACAAACCCTTATATGCTATTCCTTCAAAAGAAAACTAGAACTGTGAGGGATAATGCATCGACAGTCATTTTCCAGAAAAGGTCACCCTTGATGTGGAAAATGACTTGCATCACATCATAATGTATACCTGCTCACCAATATATGTTGTAAGAAATCACTTCATTGTTCTCTCTTTTCTCTTCCAGCCACACCGGAGCCAGGAGAAGATCCACGTGTTACAAGGGCAAAGTACTTCATAAGAGATGAGTTCCTGGTGAGTGCAATAGGGACAGGTTCGCTTTTGGGCTTTGTAATGTGCACACTTTAAGAGTCCTTGTAGTAATAGTTTATATTGTTGTTCAAGAAACCCAACAATAAACTGAGGGCTTTATGATGATAGCTGAAATCACTCTTCCGCCATTAGTGTCCAAATAACAAATGTATCAATCCGCAGCTGAAAATAGTCCCTAACAAACGCAGTATTCACTCCTGAATTTAGTAATGTTTGCTAAAAGCTACAGTCCCCAGCTGTTTTAGCAAATAATTCAGGTTATTATCTTATTCTTTGATTAAACTTGTTGTGACATGTTTGTTAAATGTATCTTCAGTGGGAACATATGGGCGTGTTGTGTCAGTCTTTGACTACAGTTAACTCGTATAAAATGTTGTTGGATAATTATGGCATGACCATTAATGTGTTTAGTGCTATATATGTCTTTGCTTTATATGATCAATGTTCAAAATGTAGATTAAAGACTGCAGCTAGAGAAAACAGCTGTGTGAGTTGTAATGCGCATTGTGACGTGGTTTTCCTCTCTCCATCCCCAGAGGATCAGCACAGCGAGCGGGGACGGGAGGCACTACTGTTACCCGCACTTCACCTGCGCCGTGGACACAGAAAACATCCGCCGTGTCTTCAACGACTGTCGAGACATCATCCAGCGGATGCACCTGCGGCAGTACGAGCTGTTGTGATGGGAGAAACCAACACATCGGACTATGAAAAACCCTGAGTCTCAAAACTCTCCTCTTCCACAGAAGGGTGTGAGCTCTTGTAAAGGAACGGGGGCCAAAACACACACACACCCACACACACACACACACACACACACACACATAAAAAAACACACACACATAAAAAAACACACACACATAAAAAAACACACACACATAAAAAAAACACACCCTGAACCCAGATCTTCCCCCTGATGCAAACTCTCACATGCAGTAGACGGCGCTATTTTGCTGGAAAGGTTTTCGGGGCTAACACATAAACAGACTTTGATCTCCACCTTCAGCCATACTCGCAGATCTAAACTACATATATCCCCACACACGTTACACACACCTTTCTAGAGAAGCCCTGAGTGGCCCCATGACAGTATATCCTTAAGTAAAGAGGGTTTGATCCGGTTGTGAGATTTCCCTTATGTTGAGGTTGGGGTAAAAACTGAGCGACTACTTCAGTGCAACAGATGACTGTTGAATAACTGCAAATAGATCAGCTGAACACTGCATCTTACAAAAAAATAGCACTGTGCAGGGCTCAAATCCTTCCTATCATGTACACACATCCATGTGCAACCACAGGATCTGCTCGCACACGGAAACGTATCACACCTGCTTTTTACTGGACTGCACAACCGGGTAGGATCTGGAACTGTACCGGTCTTCGGACGAGGGGCGGGCTGATTTATCCGGCACAGTGCTTTGAGATTAAACTGAGCGACGAGGAGCAGCGTCGCCACAGACTAAACAAACCAAGGGTGTGTTGTGATCGGGGTTCACAAAAAACATGACATGGACTACGATGTGAATTTTTCTGATGGAGTCACGACGACAGTTCCTCGCCTTCTCCACCGAACTGTTTTGCCACCTGACTTTGCCTTGTTGGTAGTGGAGCGAAATGTAAAGAGGATACATTGAGTTTAAAAGAAAAAATAAACAAAAAAAGACTTTAATGGAGCTTGACTAACGGAGGGCGAAAAGCATCCTTCTACAGTACAGTACCATATAAGTTAAAGAGAACTCATCTTGTCATGGTTGACCCTGTTTTACTGTCTCCACAGCTGTTTTTGTCTGTGTAGACTTGTGTGCCATTGTGCCCTGTGCGCTCTCTTTCTTTATCTTTACTCTCCGTCTCTCTGTCGTTCTCTCCTTTTTTTTCCCCTGATGATTTTACGGCCTCATCTTCTCCTTCACTCTCGTCCTCGCCATCACCTGCCCATCTGCATTTCTACCTTCCTGGCAGTGCACTTTTGTTTTGAAGAGAAAATAAAATATAATAATCCTGGAATATAAAAAAGAACAACAAACAGGACACTAATTTCTTTTTCTTTTCCTTTTTTTTTTACTTTCTCTGCCATTCCTCCATCTTTCCTCTTCTCTCCTCCACCCTCCCCTACCTCTCTCTCCTTTGTATGTCTGTCTTTACATTACTGCTGAACTATTATTCTTGTACAGACTGTAAAATGTATTATTTTGTACAACTTTATTGAAAAAAATAACTTTTAGAAGATCCCTGTGCCTTGATCACGACTGTACGTGTGTAATGAGCTAAAGTGGGTGTCATACTGCGCTGTATAGCTTGGCCAATCCCCTCCTAACTCCAAGCCTCCATCTCCACTTCCTCCTCGTTTTATCTCTGTCTCTCTCCCCGCCCTCTCTATTCTCTGTCCCCCCTCTCCCCCACCCTCCCTCTCTGTCCTCTCCCTCTCTCCCCACGAGGACGGAGGACAACCATTCGTAGCTTTTGTAGTTTTATTTCTCTCCCTTACCCTCCCATTCTCTCTTTATGATTTAAATGTCTATTTTTGAATCCATATACCCCAAAAAGATAAATTTATGAAATGTATATGGGTTTTAAAAAAAGTATTTTATTAGAATCAAATGAACCTTGACAAATTGTACACTTGATAGTGTGCGTATTGCTATAACTTAAATCCTTTCAACTGAAGTTGTGTTCAGGTTTCTTTTGTTTTCTTTCATTGACATGGGCAAAGGACATTTTGAAGGGTTACAGAGGAGAGGACAAAACATTGCTTGTTTCTACACATCGTATTCTTTTGCTTAAAAAAAATGACAACAAAATAAACTATTGTCAGTTTATTTCTGGATGAAGGGGGTCCTCCTTCCTAGCCTTGCACAGCAGAGGCGGCCTGTACAGTATTAGCATCTCTCTCCTTTCAGTGCCCTAGTCTTCATTTAATGTGTACATCAAATATGGGTCTCTACTTTCTGAACAGACGCTCTAAGAAATAAAGTTTTTTTTTTGGTGCAGACAGAAACAGGTCTGTGATTACACACTCACAGATACAGGCAACACTACTTTCAGGCAGAGGGGTTGTAAATCCACGCTAGAGGAAGTGAGGTTTCCTGCTCGTTTATCGGTAATTTCCTCTTAAGATAAGCAGAGTATGTATTGATATGACCATGGAGGTTGTACAGTCAGTTTCTGATAGCAGGACCTCTGGTTTTGAAGGTTGGATGTTGAATAACAGACATCAAAGTTTAACTGGTGGGCTTTTATTCTGAAGTGGGCTCCTCAGTCCCCGATGGTAAAAATGTAGTAATTGAAGTTCTGAAAACACAACTTCTGATACCTGACTTGATGGTTTGGCTGTGTTGCTATGACCAGTCAAAAATACATACACAAACGTTTTAAAAGGGTCATTTAAAAAAAAAAAAGTTGCAGAGATAGAGTTCAAATCAGGGGACAGAGGGGATGAAATGCGGCAAATGGTCCCGAGCCAGATCCGAACCCTGGTCCTCCACTTGGGGACCCTGCCCAAGTGAAAGGGTAATTTTAACCTAAGTTTGGGCACTTCTTCAATAAAACTCTTTGAGAGGTGTTAACTTCACACCACTAAACACAGCGAGTTACTTGTAGTTTACTCGCAAGGTGTTTCATTTGACTTTGTGACCCTTTTTTTTTTACCTCCAAAACTTTTTTACTTTTCTATTTTTGGCCATATACATGTTGGCTGTACACAGATCAATTAATTGACCTTGTTGCATTTATCTTTTGGATGTTTTTAGATATGCAACCAATACACGGAGGATAGTTGAGCTTCACTTCATTTAGTGGGACTATCCACTTCAGTTAAAATGCAGTTGATGTGGAGGTAAGTAGAACAAAATACAGAATTAGTTTTGGAGTGACTTGTTGCCTCAAGTCTACAATAAAAGCAGCAACCTAGCCCTGACCTTACTTTAATTTCCTATAACAAGTGGAGTATGATTGAATGAAAGGCAGCAGCAATTTCCCCTATAATTAAATGAGATCTGTGTATTTACTGAAAATACATTAAAAAAATATATATAACTTCTGTATTTGAATGAGGAATGTTACAGTCATGATCCTTATGATTAGGACAAACTGAGTGGGATTCTGGGAATCAATCATAAATCATGACTTCTGTGTAAGCGTTAAGAATAACAAACCTTCAAAAGTGGAACTGATTTAAAACAGCACCTTTGCAGAACTCTGACTCAGCTCTTTCATTATTCATATGAGGCCTTGGGATTGTTAGCTTGTACACTACCTGTTAATATGTTTTTTTTTTAACAAGACTACTTCAGCCCTTGACAGGACCTGAACCTGCTATCAACAGTGTGTTTAGGTTTAAACCCTGTTGAATGTTTAAATTCCACATTTGCTTAATCTGATATGTTGTTGCCATTATTTTAAAACATAAAAGGAGATTTCATGGTATTGTAAATGTCCATAGCAAGGCCTTGGCTGCTATTAAGAAACATTAAGATCATGTCCTGCTTACATTTTTGGTGGATTTGGGGCACTAAATAACTTAAATAACATGCAAAGTAGATACTTTGTAGGCTAATTCTAGCATTTTTTGCACCCACTAACCTAAATGTCAGCATTCAACAAATGAATCAAAGTCTTAAGCAATTTTCCCATTTGGGGATACTTCAGAACAGCATGTAGACCACCATGTTTGAAAATGCCTAACTGAAAGGGATTGGATTGATAACAAAAATAATGAAAGACCAATTTAAAAGATGTTAGGCAAAAATGTAAAGAAATAGACCGTATAGAATGAAGACACAAATATATTTATCAAAAAAAAATGAGGCTAATTTAAAATGGACAAATATTTAACGACAACAAAAATTGTTTTCCAAAATTAAATAAAAACACAATCTCAGTCGGAATGTATTGCGGCCCCGGGTTATGTATACATGTTTTTATTCAAGGTGCGAACGTTTGTTTTTGCAACGGTCAAGTAACCACGTGACATGTAGCAGCAGCCCGGCCCCTCGCGTGACGTGTCCTCCTTCCTCTCTCCGTTGCTTGCTAGCTCGGTTAGCTCGTTAGCCTCCAGCAGCTGTCGGTGGCACTCAGTCAGCCAGTCAGTCCGAGTGGTGGTGCATTTGTAATCATCCTGCTCCTCCTTCCCTCCCGTAGATAGACCGTGGACGGCCGGCTTGTTTGTTTGGGAGCCAGCTGCTTCCCCTCCTCGGGCTACCTGCGGTAAAACCTCGTTGTCGTCGCCGTCACGACAGGAAGAAGCTCTGGGACATGGCCAGAACAGAACAAGTGCTGGTGCTGGAGCCACAACACGAACTGAAATTCAGAGGTAATGCCGAGCTAGAGGGCAGGGCCGGGGGGCTAGGTAGCTAACAGGGAAGCCGTCAATGATAGCTACTGTATCGATTTCAGCATTAACCAGTTAACGGTGGCTAGAGGTTCGTTCATTGTTGCTTTTGTTGTTAAATAAGACGGATTATAGCTGGCTGTAGTGAACATTGTTTGTTGGACAGTGAAAAGGCGATGACAGGTGAAACGACACTGAGTGCGACGACGCTAAATAGCTAGCTAAGTAGCATTCCGCTAACCTAGTGCTAGCTGTCATTGCAGCGTCAGTGCAGGCCCGCCGTCCCATTTCTCTAATTCACTAATTTCCTCCCTTTGCTTTGTCTTATACTCTCTGACAACATGTGAAAAACCGTGATGTGATCTAACACTTGACATACTCCTTCATCTCGATGTGTTTGCGATCACAGGTTTGCCAAGAAGTGACTATATTCTAGCAATTTCTACGATCAGGATGTCATTGCTCAGCCTTATTACCATGCTTATTTCACAATGTTTTAAGCTAGCAAGCTGTGATTTGGAGATTTACCGTTTTACTTACTTTGCAACCTAAATTCCTTTGCGGCTTTTGCTATATCCAGGCAGAAAGATTGTGAAAATACAGACTGAGCTGGTATGTCTTGGGATAATAGCTGAGGAAATTGCCTTTTGGGTGGGATATAGATGGAGAAATGGGTCAAGTGATGACCTAAGGAAGAGTAGCTGGTTGTTCACTGATTGATTATTGCAGAGCTTTGAATGCAAATATATCCCAGAAGAAGATTCTTACGCCCACTCACTTACTGAAGCACAGTGTATCTGAACAGAATGCACAGTGGGGTTGTTTGTCCAGCAAACAATTAAAAAAACAACAAGGTTCAGTTTTCAAAAGAGGCTGAATAATACATTAAACTTGGTCAGGTGGTGTGATGAATGATGCTGTGAGGGTGATCTAAATGCCACACAAGCAACAAGAAAACATAGTAGTACGTTTTTGACAGTGTCAGGTTGTGTCTGAGGGCGGGGCATGAATAATACAGTAAATGCTTTTGCTGCTCATTCCACAGTTTGAATGTTTAATGTGCAAGTCCCTCACAAACACTACTCGTACACTCATCCTTGCAGACAGACACACAACATGTGTATGTACTTTATCAATCACTCAGGTTTGATTCTCACCCAGGAAACTGAGCCATGCACACAAATGCCAAACAAACACCTCAACTAATAATTTCACCAACACCATTGAGTCACTGTTCTGTCTCTCTCTCCTCCTCAGGCCCGTTTACAGATGTCGTCACTGCTACTCTGAAGCTCACCAACCCCACAGAGAGAAATGTGTGTTTCAAAGTCAAGACAACTGCGCCTCGTAGATACTGTGTGCGCCCCAACAGTGGCATCATTGACGCGAAGAACTCCGTCAATGTTTCCGGTTCGTAAGCATTTCTTATATCTTCCCAGTCAAAGTTCAAAACCCACAGTATGGTTTCCACATCTCATTTAGAGAATCAAGAATAATGTGATTATCTGTAGTTGTTTTCAGACAATATATCTGAATAAGTGCTAGTTATTTATTATCAGAGAACAAAATCACTGCTTTGTAGATCAAATTGCCGAGCAGGAGGAGGTATTTATTGATAATTTCACCCGGCAGCAACACAAACAAGTTTAGGAAATTGTATCATTTTTCCTAATTGCCAGCAGAAAACTGTTAAAGTTAAATCAAGCCACCAGTCGGCATGTATTGTGTTTCAGCACCAAAATCAATCTTCTACCATTCGTTGCACCGATACATCTGTCAGCCTCTTGGGGTTAGAATTATTGTTGAGCAATCATCTGGAGGAATATCTGAATATTCTTTGCAGGTGATGGGTAAAATACAATACAATGCCTGCAATTTTCTTTCCTGGTCATCATGATTTAAGAAAAAAGGAGAATAGGGAACAATAAAAACATGTTGCATTGTCAAATTGAAGAAATATCATCACTTCAAAAAGTAGTCACTCCTATAATCATTATATATAGCATTTTTATTTGTAGTGAACCCAAAATAATGTTGTATTGATATTGTCCAATTAATGCTTTTCCAAATTGAAGCCCAAAACATATGTAATACATAAAATCTCTAACATATGGTTTAAGTAGTTCAATTTGTTCACTGCTTTCTTTGTGAAATACCTGTTTAATTGAAAACAGTCCCGCACCTGTATCATCTTCTCTGTTGTCAATTAAATCTAACAGATAAACTGGATTCCTGACATTCATTACGAGCACAGTCATTGTACTGCTCAGTGGCTAAGTCAGTTATTATCCAGGCAGGTCACAGTGTGAAACCTGATTGACGCCTTTTCAGTTGCAGGTTACACAATAGTTGTTTCGGGCCAATACAGGAAGTAACACTTTCCCTAATATTCCTGCTTTCTCTATCCTCTTTCTGTTTGGTCTACAGTTATGCTGCAGCCGTTTGACTACGACCCCAATGAGAAGAGTAAACACAA